TACATGTGTATATCTTGGTAACCGCTACACCAATTTCTTCCAAACTCGGCAGAGTTGTTGGTCCTGGTACAGCATACCAAATGTCCGAAAATTTCTAAAATCGGACAATAACCACGCCCACATCCCATATAACCATTTGGTATGCTGTACCAGGACCAACAACTCTGCCGAGTTTGGAAGAAATTGGTGTAGCGGTTACCAAGATATACACATGTAACCATAAGTGGGCGTGGCTACGCCCATTTTCCAAAAATATATAAAATTCATGTTTTCCGTCTGAAACTCATTGTAAGTGTCAATTTTGAGTGAATTATCTTCAGTAGTTACTAAAATATCGCAGTTTTCGTATTTCTTGAAATTACCGCTACTAGTATTCGCCCAGCGGTTGAAATTCAACCGCTAAAATTAAAGATAGTTTATGTGAGTTGAGTTGAGCTGAAATAAAATAAGTTGGAATGGGTTTATTGGAGGGGAGTTTAGGACTTAGGACTTAGCATAACATAACATGCCATAACATCGCACATTCTTCAGTTGTATTTCCTTTTTATCCCTATCACTTTGTTTCTCTCTATATTTGTCTCTATCGCTTTTAATTCTTATGTTTATATTTATCTTCACCCTAAAAGGGGTGTAAAGAAAAATTATTGCCTATTTGTATATAAGATAAGATACCAAAAACCAAAAAACATATGGAAACATCATTATATTGCAATATATATACGGGGTCTTCATCAAAAGTGATAAACTGATTTAATTATCATTTTATCTCGTTTATCGGAAGTTTATCAATTTATATGAACGCCGATATTATTTCATATTTCATTATATAAGATTAAAAATCTTGTTTATTTTGGTTCACTTTATGCCAAATGATGTTGTCATTGACGCCACATCAAGTGATATCATGCCATGTGGTGAAACTGGGTGAGGTGAGTTGCGGCGTGGTGGAATTGGGTGTGGGATTGACGGTCTTGTGAATTCAGGAGTGGTGGGCTTAAGAGGTGTGGTGAGTTGGGGTGTGGTGAGTTTAGGTGTGGTGAATTTAGTTGTGGTGAGTTGAGGTGCGGTGAATTAAGGTGTGGTGAGCTAAGATGTGGTGAGAAATTTGAGGTGTGGTGAATTTAAGTGTGATTAATTAAGGTGTGGTGGATTTAAGTGTGAGGGGTTAAAGTGTGGTAAGTTGAGGTGTGGTGAATTAAGGTGTAGTAAATTTATNAATATGCACTTATGTAAGTATGAGTGAGGTTAGATTATAAAAGATAAAATATTATGCAATATAAACACAAAACTACGTATGTATTTATAATATCAAAAAATTCTATTAAAAAATGTATGGCAAGTGAAAATATGTACATACAGTTTTAAAAGGATATGATATATTATTTTAAGAAAATGTTTCTAAATATGTATGTACTTACTCATAAATACTACAATTGAAAACGTGTATTTTTTTAGGGGACGGATCAAAGCAGTTTTCCAGTACCAGCACAGAGCAATAAAAATTGTATAATATTTTTTTAAAGACTAATTATTTTTTAATAAAAAATAGTAACTATAAAAATTTCAAAGTCCAATTTATTATTAAAAAAAAAAAGTAAAAAACTTTGGTAAAATAAAATTAATTAGCCCTGGGTAACACTAAACTAACGAAACCCTTAACAGTTGCCATATGCGTCTGTTCCTCCTGTTAGAGGCGGTCAAAAAAAGTCTCCAAGTCAGGAGCGCCCAATCGAGTGGTGGGTCCTAGACAAAAAAAAGCTCAGAAACGAGGTGTCCATATGGAAGTGTTTAGCAAGAGCGCGGTTACCCACGTAGCGTACCGTAGAAGTACGTAGAAACATATCAAATTTGCTGTTGTAATGAGGTGGTGAGTTTTCGTTGACACGCAAATCCCATAAGATGGATCGTGTCAGCTGACACGTTCTACGTTTTTACGTCCGTGGGTAACTGTGCTTTAAGGATCAGAAGATTACGGTGCAGGAAGCGGTATACCCAATACCGGCGGTAGAAGATGAGCGAAAAGGCCATCTGGCGTCGAAATTCTCTGGTTGTGTACTTGGAAGGAAGACGGGAATGCGCCGAAGAGTATTTAAGGCAGACAGGCAGGTAGCCGTGGAAAATAAGCAGAAAGAGCCTTAGAATATCAGTGCCAAACTTTGTGAGCATTATCATTGGCAACGCTTCGAACGAAGACGATTTTTAGCGACAAGCTATAATTGGAACCCTGGCTCCACAGTTGACGAATGCTAATGGTAAGCCAGAGGAGGTTGTATCGAAGACTATTTTAAGCACAAGGCACAAGAAAGGAAGTGGGCGGAGGACGGGACATTGCATACCAACTTTGGAGCATTATTATTGTGAAAAATTCCGATGTTCACAAACAACGCAGGCAAATGGCTGCAAAGCTAAGATGTTGTTACTTGGCGAACCATCGATGCCTTCCACGTCTGAAGCACGAAGAAGGAACTAAATAAACCGCCGAGGGCCAGAAAGATCGATTTCCATTCTGAGAAAAATTAGAAATATAAATTCATCACATAGTTGCTTTCGCAGCAACATCAGTCGAACTCACAAGTTTTCTGGGCTAGGCACTAAAAACAACATCATAGGTCTGATGAGGCGTTTATGGGGGAGTCAAATAGGCCGAAGCCCGTGGCATACTTAGACTCGTCCGCTATTCTGCAGTTATGCATTTTTGGCAAAGTCAGCCCTGTTGGAAAGATAACGCCAAATATCTAACTGGCTACTAGTAGACGCTCGTCTAACGGAATTGATGCTCGAGGCCGTCAGCGAGTATCTAATTCGTTTTTTGATGAAGCTTAATGCCGGCCGCTGTGGTGTAGTGGTTAGCAGTGCACGTTACCATTCTGTGAGTCCAGTGTCCGAACCACATCAAAATAATAATAAACAATAAAGTTTTTTCTAATAGCAGTCGGCCCTCGGCAGGCAATGGTAAACCTCCGAGTGTATTCATTTAAATTCATTCCAAGATGGAATCGGCCCTGGAAAATGTTACCAAGTGGGCAAGACAAAATACTGGATGGGACAGACTTGAAACATTTTACGAGCCGAAATTACTTAGTAATAGGGATAATACAGGGAATGGTAGAATATGATCCTTCACTTAAAGCCACCACAAGTCTTCATTACTGGTGCAGCCGTAAAAGAGGACCTCAGGCGGCATAGCGGGAGGAAGGCTGACACTGATTACTCTACGTCAGTTTGGTATTTACAATTTTCAGCTACGGAAGGATGGGAAATGATGGCATGATCTACACTTATGTGTTAAAGTCAAGCATTGTTCAGAAGTGTCACTGGCATGACAAAATCGCATCAAAGCCTCTCTCTGCTGCATTCTGGAGAGTCGATCATCGAGGCGGAAACCTTCCTACAACCACCGATTTGTGATTTACTGTGGAAATTTGAATTTTGGCGAAGGCATAAAGAATGAACTATAGACCAAGGGCGACGACTGTGAAGTCTCATAAGTTGAATAAGAAACGAACTGAGGGACTTTTAACGTTAACGAAATTTTCGGTAAGAATTAGCAGACTTTGACGTTGCATCAATACTACAAAGGTGGCGTATACCGGAAAGTTCTAAAAGCAGAAGTTGTTGGGTCCTCGAAACGGAGGAATCGATTCATCTATACTATGTCAATGTCTAGCTGTTCGGAACAAGGTACTTCAAGCGGTGGCGATCCTGCTCAGGATCTCACCAGCTTGGCAGAAATAAACGAAAGTGTACCTATTGGACCTCGTTGATTCTCCAATCTTAAATGAAGCAAAATAAATTAAAATAAAAAAAAAACTGAACGCAATAAAATAAAATTAACAAAAATACTACAGGAAACAAGTCTACATGAATACCTAAAAGACATATTTGCATATTTAAACTATAAATAGAATTTCAATGAAAATTTACGATTTTGTTTTAAAAAATTGTAAGTGTTGGTTTTATTGCAATTTTTATTATTAGAAAATGATTACTAAAAACATAAACCGGGACTACGTGAATAGATTTGGTCGCAAGCAAATATGTTTTCCTAAATTTAAAAATATTTATTTACAATGATAATCACTCGACATAAAATAAGTATCCCTTTTTGCTATTTACTTATTATTTTAAATTTATTAATTCTTTGCTATTAATTCCAAACTAACTAATTACTAGGGAAAATTATTCTATCATTCCCATTCCTGCCATTGCTCTTAATTGTGGCTATTTTACTTGTTGTGGTGGTGGTGGCAATTGTCGTTGGTGTGACAAGCAGCTGAAATCGTAACATACATACATACAAAAGTAGTAAAAAAAGTTATCCAGTAATAAAAAAAGGGAAATTTGTAACGGGTTTCAAAAGTGACCAAAAAAGAGTACGCATACAAAAAGATTAGAATAAATATATAAAAAGAGAAAAAAATATATATTTTTTCAAGTTAAAGTGTGTTTAATTAGATAAAAGAACAAAATTAATTGCTATATTTTACTTAATAATGTGCAACATGCAATTGTTTTTGCTGTTAATTATCACTATTTATAATATTTACAAGTTAAAAAAGCTTATTGGCAGTTTTAAGGGTCACTAAAAAAATGTAAGCAATAGTCAGTTACTTACCTTCGATGGCGTCAATGTGACGTTTAACAGTGTTGGATGTTGTTCGACAACAATGAATTCCACCTCACGTGGAGCATAGCCCTCGCCGAATACCTGAAATACAAGAAAGATGCTATTCAATAAATTCCTTTGGTAAAAGTCTTACATTCTTCTAGAAGCGGGATAATGTTTACACTATTTTAGCTTAAGTAAATGCCCGATATCGGATAACCTACATACATATACATATGTTTATGTTCAATGAAAAGCTAATTGTGTCCACGAAATGGGCTATAACTTCTGATAACTACTTCAGAGCTGCTAAAAATATGGATCGACCATTAAATGGAATATTTTTATTTTTTTTTTGAGAAGATTAAGCGGAAAATGCTACTACACATACCATAAAGGCTTTGTGAGGCCTGACACCTAATGGAGTGAAGAAATCGCAGAGCCACAACAGAAATTCTAACAATCACGAATAA